CGGGAAATCTAATTTCTCGTACTTCAAAAACCGATTAGAGTCCAAACTTGGACGAGGCCCGGTGACACAAATATTTTATCAGAATCCAGTTTTTTTTGGAAACAACCAAATAATTGTTTATAAGATTGAAGTTCAAGATGACGAGGATCTCTAGAATATGTTTTCCAGCCATGTGTATTCTGGGTACGACTCTATTGAGTTGTACATTGTGCTGCGAGAGCCTTAGGTGACACAAGTAGTTGATCCTTTGGAGAATGAACAAGCTGAGGTAGATGCAGTTGATGATGAAGAAGAAGATGACGAGTTAGAGTTTGATAAAATGGTGAATGATGATTCCGACGATGATGGCATACCTAGTATTCCTGCAAACGAAATCTACACACCACCTCCGCACATGACAAACTTCAACATGGGCGGAGATGAACCGTCTACTGATTTATTTTTCAATCCGTATATGCAGTCGGATGAAAACTTAAAAGAGAAGGACAAGTTTCATAACAGAGAGGAATGCATCAGAGCCATAAAAAAATTCCACATGCTCAACTCGGTTGATTTTAAGGTGGACCGTGTCAACCCAGAATGGTACAAGATCAAGTGTGTCCACCCTGACTGTATGTTCAAGTTGACTGCATCATACAGATTAAGAGGTGATTGATGGGTCATAGGTTCCATGACTACCCACACTTGTGTAAGTTCTACCCAATCACAGGACCACCAAAAACTTAATTACGATCTCATCTGTCAAGAAATCCTACCACTGGTCAGCAACGACCCATCTTTGAAGGTGAAAACAATCATCTCCCACATCACCACGGTTTTTAACTATACTCTGTCTTACCGTAAGGCGTGGTTAGCAAAGACTAAGGCGATTGAAAATGTGTACGGAAACTGGGAGGAGTCATACCAAGAACTTCCTCGCTACCTGAATGCACTAAAGACGTATTCTATGGGTATTGTTTACATTCTGGAAATAGTGTCAGCATACGCCTAAGATGGTAGTCAACTAAACGGCAACAGAATATTCAGTCGAGTGTTTTGGGCATTTCAACCTTGCATCACAGGGTTTGCATCATGCAAACAAATTATACAAATTGATGGGACTTGGTTGTATGGAAAGTACAAAGGCACGCTACTGATGGCAGTTGCACAAGATGGCAACAACAACATTTTCCCCATTGCTTTTGCCCTAGTCGAGGGGGAGACCGGTGGTGCTTGGAGATTTTTTCTGAAAAACCTGCAGACACACGTGGCTCCTCAACCAGATCTCTGTTTGATCTCGGACAGACATGCCTCCATTGAAAGTGCCTACAATAATCCTGCAAACGGTAAGGAAAGCGGTTATGAATGCAGGATATGCATTGACACAACCCACATTCAAATATTACCGCAACGAGATCCCTTTGTCAAATCCGGAAGCCGGTAGGTGGATCGACAATATTCCGGTGGAAAAATGGACTAGGTCATACGACAATGGCCAAAGATGGGGGCACATGACAACGAATCTTATTGAATCGATGAATGGGGTATTCAAAGGCATACGAAACCTCCCGATCACTGCTTTGGTAAATTCTACGTATTTTAGGATAGCTGCGTTGTTTGCCAAAAGAGGTGAAATATGGAATACGGTGTTGCAATTTGGACAACTATGGAGTGAAAGCTGCATGAAATACATTAAGGCAGAAAGTGCCAAAGCCAACACTCATATGGTTATACGGTTTGACCGACACAGCCACAACTTCATTGTAAAAGAAACAATTGACCACAACGAAGGCCTGCCAAGACAAGAATATAGGGTCATGCTACCTTCTCGTTGGTGCGATTGTGGCAGGTTTCAAGCATTTCGTATGCCTTGCTCTCATGTCATTGCCGCTTGTGCTTATACCCATCGAGACGCGCTGCAACTTCTGTCACACATTTACAAATCTGAAACATTGCTCAACGTTTACAACAACAGCTTTCCTTTAGTAGCAAAACCAGATTATTGGCCTGCATACGACGGGGAAATAGTGTGGCACAATGACCAAATGCGAAGGAACAAGAAGGGTCGTCCCAAAAGTAAGCGCATCACAACAGAAATGGACGATCTTGACAAGCTAGAAAGAAAGTGTGGTTCATGCCGTCAGGTCGGACACAATCGCAAAAATTATCCGAATCGGGCGTCTGCCTCGACCACATAAAAATTGTAATACATAAAATCTTTCCTTAATTATGTTGTAAACATTAGCGTTTTCCGTTAAAAGATTTTGCTACAATAAATATTGCGCGTACAAGAAAAATACACGATATTCTGTCTACAAAATTACAACTGTTAACACAATTTCATCTGACCTATGCATCATCAACATTACATCGCTGTCTGTTTGGACTTCCTCCAACCATACATTAGGTCTTCCTGTCGCGGGACTGCATTGTCTAACAGATTCCGTTTCGTGTCTTCCGCCCATTGCAGCGGAATGACAATTGCTTCGGAACCGGAATCAGTTAGACAGCGCTTAGTAGATAGATTCATGTCCACCGGCAATACAGAAAGTCTGCATCTTTGGGCGTATAATACCCGACCAGTAGGGTTAGTTTCTCATTCTTGGTTCATCTAATCTCTGTTTCTTTTGTGTATAGCAAAATTTTCATATAACCTATTGTTTTAATTTATAGAGCACACTGGTTGCTGCTTGCTATCAACCCGATAAGAGAAGTCGTGTATTATCTGAATTCGGTAAATGGTGAATGGACCAATTATCCGGCTATGAAGGAAATCGTTGATTTGTAAGTGGGATCGTTCTAAATATATATTCGTGTATATTTATATATTTTCTTATTTGTGGGATTGATCTAAACATATGCTTTTATATATTTAATAATTAGATCAATACAAGTGTTCCGTAGTCAACGGGACGCACAGGTATCCCGGACTAAATCAAACAACATCACTTGGATCCAAGTGCAGGTACATTACTTTTCACAATTTTGCTTATAATATTTATGCTACTTGGTAAAACAAGACAACTATAGAATCTTATTTGTTTTATTATGTAGTGTCCGCAACAGCGAAACAGTCATGATTGCGGATACTTTGTTTTGAGGTTCATGAAAGAAATCCTTCAGGCGAATCAATTAGAGATTCCGCTCACGGTATGAATTTATAACTTAAGATAATTTCATATAATTTATTACATTTAACTAAATATATCATTTATATTATGTTTTTGTTTTGTAGTACCTTGACGAATTCCGTGCTGCTGGGTACCCGAAGCTTAAGTTGGAAGAAATTAAAGAAGATTTGTGTCAATATTATATTAAGCAATTTTTCATGTAGGATTTGTGTCGATTTGAACTATAATATTATTGATGTAATGATGTATATATATAATTTTGGATATTATAATGGTATTATATTAGTATATATATTGTCTTACTGATGGCTGAAATAATAGCGTCGAAAATATATTACAGGTCAAAAATATATTACAGGTCGAAAATATTACAGGTCGAAAACATTACAGGTCGACTGGGAGGATTAAATTATAGGCTGCACATAAAAATACCTCATTTAGAAACGACAGCGCTTTTAAAAAGCGCTCTTAAAGGTCCACCTACTAAAGCGCTTCTTAGTAAAAGCGCTGCCAAAGACCAGTAAAAAAGCATAAAAAATTAAAAAAAAAACGCAGCATACAAAAGCGCTTTTGGAAAAGCGCTCTTATAGGGGGGCCTATCAGAGCGCTTTTTCCAGAAAAAGCGCTCTCATAGGGGGGCCTACCAGAGCGCTTTTCCAAAAGCGCTTTTGTATGCTGCGTTTTTTTTTAATTTTTTATGCTTTTTTACTGGTCTTTGGCAGCGCTTTCTGGGAAAAGCGCTCTTAAAGGGGGGTCTACCAGAGCGCTTTTTCCAGGAAAGCGCTCTTATAGGGGGTCCTACCAGAGCGCTTTTTCCAGGAAAGCGCTCTTAAAGGGGGGGTCTACCAGAGCGCTTTTAGAAGCGCTTTTGTTACCTACGCCAGCGCCAGCTATTAAAGCGCTTTTAAGCGCTTTTAAAGGCCAAAATAAGCGCTTTAAAAGCCCTTTTCCGTAGTAGTGGAGGTTGTTGTTCATTTTCGCTGGATCCTTCGAATTTTTTCCCCCTCCGCGATGTCTCCATCTAGCCATCGCATCAACTCCCGCTTCAGACGCTCCATGGAGTGAATGTGCCAGAATTTCATTTTCATCGCAGGTTTTGTGGCGGAGAAGATAACGTAACCATCTCTGCTAATGGGTGATGTCATGACGCAAATAACAGAGTAAAAAATAACAAAACAGTGCGAGAAAGTGTGAGAAACGACGGAGAAACGAACAAATTATTTATAAAACAACATTTTGCCCTAGGAGTCAAGTGAGATGGCGCCTCCTCTCACTTTTAAAGTGCATGCGCCATCTCACTTGGCTAAAAGTGAAAGGAGGCGCCAAGTGAGATGACGCCTAGGACAAAACTAAGGGTGGAGGCGCCAAGTGAGATGGCTCCTCCTTTGGGGAGTCATCTGAAATATGGTTATTTGTGTAATTTTTTCCGAAATGCGGTTATTTGCGAAATTTTATTTTAATACCTGATTATTGTAAAAAAAAATTCCAAATTCTCTTAATAATATATTAATTTTAATGTTTCTCATAATTTAAAAATATAAAAAAATTGAAAGGATAAAATAATAATAAAAACTTAAATATATATTATATTTGAAGAAGAAAAAAATTATATTATTTAACATTTTCTTAATCGTATAAAATTTATCTTCTAGACGCATAAATAAAGAAAAAAAATACAATTACATAGTACTCTTTTAAGATATAGAAAATTCTGGTAAAAAACTTTTCATTCTCATATATATATATATATATATATATATATATATATATATATATATATATATATATATATATATATATATATATATATATATATATATATATATATATATATATATATATTCTGAATATTATAGCAGAGACTTACACTCTAACATTGCATAAGAAAAAATGTTAAAGATAAGTAAGCCACATGCTGTGTTAACTCCATTTCCACTTCAGGGCCATATCAATGCATTGTTGAAAGTAGCAAAACTACTTCACCTCAGAGGGTTTCACATAACCTTTGTCAACACTGAATACAATCAAAAACGCTTGCTCAAATCAAAGGGTCCTAATGCCTTTGATGGTTTCACTGACTTTACCTTTGAGACCATTCCAGATGGCTTAACTCCAATAGAAGGTGATGGTGATGTTAGTCAAGACGTACACTCTCTTAGTGAATCAATCATGAAGAACTTTCACCATTTCTTTAGCGAACTTCTTGCTAAACTTCATGAATCTGCCATTGCTGGTCTTATCCCACCTGTTACTTGTTTCGTTTCTGATTGTTACATGCCATTTACCGTAAAATTTGCTAAAGAGCATGCTCTCCCAATTCTTCTCTATTCTCCATGTAGTGCAGGTTACTTCTTGTCTTCTTATTACGTTTCAAAATTGTTTCAGACTGGTGAACTACCACTCAAAGGTAAAATTATTTATCATCTTTATTATTATTTTTACATATGTGTTTTGAAACCCTAATTTATAAACCTTTTCAATTATGATATGCAGATAAGAGTTATCTAACAAATGAATATTTGGACACTAAAGCTGATTGGATTCCAGGTTTGAAAAACTTTAGATTGAAGGATCTTACTACTTTGATAAGGATAACTGATCCGAATGATTTGTCCATAAAATTTGCCACTGAAGTAGGAGATAAATGTCACGCGGCCTCTGCGATGATTTTTAATACTTCTAAGGAACTTGAGAATGATATTTTGAATGCACTCAATTCTATATTTCCTTCTCTATACACCATTGGACCAGTTTCTTCGATTTTAAATCAAAGTCCACGAAATCATTTGGAGTATTTAGATTCTAATCTTTGGAAAGAAGATACTGAATGTCTCGAATGGCTTGAATTAAAAGAAGCAGGATCTGTGGTTTATGTGAATTTCGGTAGCATCACAGTTATGAATGAAGAGAAACTGTTAGAGTTTGCAAGGGGTTTGGCTAATAGCAAGAAACCCTTTTTGTGGATTATCAGGCCTGATCTTGTCATTGGTGGCTCAATGGTTTTGTCTTCCGAGTTTTTGAAAGAAATTGCGGATAGAGGCCTAATAGCAAGTTGGTGTCCACAAGAGAAGGTGTTGAACCATCCTTCAATTGGTGGATTCTTGACTCATTGCGGATGGAACTCAACCACTGAAAGCATATGTGCTGGAGTGCCAATGTTGTGTTGGCCATTTTTCGCTGATCAACCCTTAAATAGGAGGCTTATTTGCCATGAATGGGAGATTGGGCTCGAACTTGATACGGATGTAAAAAGAGAAGAAGTAGAGAAACTAATTAATGAATTGATGGTGGGAGAGAAAGGAAAAAAGATGAAGAAAAAGGCTATGGAGATGAAGAAGAGAGCAGAGAATGACACAAAACCTGGCGGTTGTTCATACATGAATTTGGACAAAGCGATTAAGGAAGTCTTGCTTACTAAACGTTAGATTAAAGTGGTATTTTCTTGCTGAATTTTTTTCTTCAAGAAGTAAAAGCAATAAAAAGTTTATAAATTCTAGTTATATCTAAATTGTAAGCAATTTGGTGATTGACGTTGGATTTCGTAGGGAGGACCGCGAAACAATTAGAGACCTTGTATTCTATCTTGTTGTGTTTTAATATTTTAGAGTTCAATATAGAGAACCCATATTTTTTTCAGATTTGAGAGACATTCTATTCAACCGTTTTTTTATAGATCTCGTCGAGTACATGACCAAATTCAAAGAGACGTGTTTGTTTTGCAATCCAACTCGAATAAATAAAAACTAAAAGAAGTTTTGATTGTTTGAATTAATGCTTATGTGAAGAGCTAAAGATTAGATAGAAACACTATCGAGTAACACAATGAGTATTTAGGAAGAGCTAAGCAGATTATTTCTAGAAAGGATCTTTTAAATAAAAAAATTGTAGTCTTTTTCTTTGATAGAAAGACTATCGGGTGAAACATTGACTTCGATCAAAGAGAGACCGAATCTCCCTACGACACTTGAGAAAAGTTTAACTAATGATTAAGCAATGTTAATCACATAACCTTGATGATTTGGCACATATAGAATACTTCACAAAAGGACTCGTTAAAAACCTTGTTAAGCAAATATATTACGAAGGTGAAAGATTTAATCGAGAATATGACCCAAATTGATTATTCTGCAGTATCCAACAGAGGTGTTAAAAGAAGAAGAAACAGAACATTTAAAACTCAAAGAAAACTGTTAGCAAGTTACTAACAAATGTAAGCACAATTGGATAGTATAACCAAATAACTAATAGATCCTCAAAGGGGATATCATCATATAACAAGGTACAACATATTATCACACTACTAGAAATAATAGTTATTCTGGACTAGACCCGCACTCAGCCCAAACATCATACAAGGCTCAATCCAATTATGTTGCATGGGAAGTCCAACAAGAATAAGTTTGTCCTTGACCTACGTCGGGCAGGATCCACCCCTCACATCGAGGACCTATCCTCTATGCATCCTCTGAGGACATCCTAGCCACATGACTGTCGAGGAAGATTAGTGGCACCCAGGTATGTGTCACGATGTACCCTCCTCATAGGGCACGCACCCAACATCTCTCAAAATATCACGGAGTCCTCTTGACCCCAGAAAGACAGCGTCCGCACCTCCTTGGTATTTCGGGGAAGTTCACCCAAGATGGAGACCACATGCTAGTCTCCACTACACACATAGGTCCTGGCAGTCTCCTATTGGGCTTGTCCAGTCGGTCAAACATGGGGACCTTAGCCCAGTGCTGGGGGATATAAATACTTTCTTACGCTAGAGGATCGGGTATTCAGTCATTTACTCTCTTACTCTCTAATTGCATTTTACTTTGAACCTCACTTTAGCATCAGAGTGTCTTGCAGGTACCCCCAATTCACCTTCAACCACTGCACAATTTAAGTTCGTGGGGCATCAACGATGCATTCTGATCAGGTACGATCAAGGGCGCCATCTGTGAGAAACCTTTGCTTCCCCTTCTTTCTCTAAACTTAAGATCAAAGCAAACTTTCAAATTTCCGATCATTATGGCCGATCAACTCAACAACAACAACAACAACAACAACAACACTGGCAATCACGAGCATGACAGCAGGGATGAGATGACTGCTTCCTCTTCCACCCGCGAGTATCCGCTTGATTACCCTCACTGGTGGGTCGAGGAGCCCGCAGTGTACAAGGAAATTCGGATGCCCACCAATGTTGACCCCACAACCCAGGACTTTATCGCGACAATCAATCAGACCAACTACGTGTTCTTCGTGTAGGGCGAACGAATCGGATGTTGGAAAAGACTCGCCAGTCTCGCTCCTACAAAAGGCACAGAAGACATGACTCACATACCTCGTCTCCACGATGATGTGAGACACGTTCATGATCTCCTCCGCGGAGACACCAACGGGAAAAATCTCGCAACCCCTCTCCTCATCATATTGGGCGAGGCCCTCGACTGGAGAGGACCCAACCTGAGATCATCCAGAAGCGCGATCGCACCTCACGGTGCAAAGAATAATGATCCCTTGTTCCTAAGAGGAACAAGGGAAGAGAACACCTCGAGAAGACGAAGACTCGGGAAAGGGAATCTTGCCGAAGAGGCCTCTGTTTCGACTCTTCCCTGTCTCATTCTCCAGACAGAAGTGATGAAGACGACGCCTACGGTCCACTATCCCGAGCAATAATGGAGGTCCATATTCCTAAGGGGATGGAGAAACCTCCACCCTTGAACACCTATGATGGCACTATAGATCTCGACGACCATGTCGAGTGCTTAGAGGCAATGCTCCACTTCCACAACTTCGAGGGTGCCATCAAGTGCAAGTTATTCCCCATAACTCTGAGGAAAACTTCCATGGACTAGTACAAAAACCTCGCCCTCGAGTCCATTACCTCGTGGAAGAGTCTAAAGACCCAGTTCGCCAGCAACTTCACAGCCTCTCGACGACACCCCAATACTGAGGCGACCCTTGAGTCAATCATCCAGGGGAGTGAAGAATCCTTCTGAGCATACATTGAGCGGCTCAACCGTGAGGCCATCCAAGTCCCCACAATTGATTGCATGAAGAGGTACCTGCTTAAAAGAGGGCTGCTTCCGGACAGTGACTTCAAAAAGGTTATCAACATCGAGACCCCCAAATCCTTGGGCGATCTCCTCTTCAAGGCCCAATCCTACATAACATAAAAAGAGAATGAGGCCGCCAACAACGCATGTGATTCTAGAAACTACGAAGTTCCCATTTTCCCGAGGTATAATGATGTCGGGTCATCTAGACGAGCCGCTGACAAGAGAAAATATGAGAAATCCCGTGACTATCGCGATCATAGAGGCCCAGCTGGACGCTTCACTGAGTACACCCTGCTGACCGCTCCATGTGAGTGTATCCTCGCAGAGTGTGCTAATGTTGTATTCAAGGACAGTGGGGTCCGACGACCCAAACCTACATCTCTCAAGCCCGGGGTCGATAAGACCAAATACTGCCAGTACCACCGGAGTCATGTCCATGTTACTGAGATTGCATCCACCTGAATAATGCCATCGAAACCCTCATTAAGGCAGGACGACTCGGGAAGTACAAAAGGAACGACACCCCTTGCCGCAACAATCGCGAGGTGAAAGAGATCGAGGAGGAGACAGGACCCTCCGACGAGGTTGGCCCCCTCCAAGTTGCTTTGTGCATTTTGAGGCCCGAGGACTTCTACTTCCCTGATAGCGTCAAAGACGAGGAGCCATTGTTTACCCATAGCAGATGGGAAAATTCCCCTCCGCCATGGTCATATCTGGCGGGGGATTCGGCGGTTTGTCTGTGAATTTAGCAAAAATAAAGTTCAATGAGCTGATAGATACATCCCTGATCCAGACCGAGACCCTTGATTGGTTACGGGGAAAATCCGAGCCAATCACCTTCTACCTCGAGGAACTACCTGGTGGAGCTCCTAACTCGAACATCCCTTTAATCGTGAGAGAAAAGATGTCCAACTTTGACGTGCACCTCATCTTGGTTGATGAAGGGAGTTTCGTCAATGTCATGTACACTTAACTTTTCCAAACCCTCCAGCTCGACAAAATCCACTTGTCACCATACGTGGGATTCGACCTGCAAGGCTTTAATGGATCGACCTCTAAACCATGGGGCTATGTTGAGCTGCTCGTCACATTCGGGATAAAAGCTTCTGTCAGGCAGGTTAAGGCCCGCTTCCTAGTGGTTGACTGCCCATCTCTCTACAATTTCATCCTGGGGAGACTAACATTGGTCGATCTGGTCGTCGTACCCTCCACGGTCCACCTGAAAATGAAGTTCTACACAAAGAGGGGTCGCGTCACCATCATCCACAAAGACATCAAAGCTATGAGAAGATGTTTTAATGTGGCCTCAAAGGGACAAAACATGGTCGACACGAAGCCAATATCTGCCAACAGAGCGACTTCCTCATCAACAGCGACACCCGCAACAGACAAGCCCACTCAAACTGAAGGACGGGAGGCTCCACTCAATGTTGGCTCCATTGACCTCGACACCCTCTTTACCAAAGAGGAAGTCGAAGTCCCGATTGGCGAATAGGATCCTCTTCTCCCCATCCACAATGGAGATTTTGAAATCATCCCCTTCGGTGAGGAACCAAACAGAGGCGTGAAGATTGGAGTTGGACTCCCCGATCTGGTGAGGAAGCAGCTCGAAGCTTGTCTGAGGATGAACACATATTTATTTGCATGGAGTGATGCAGAAATTCCTGGGCTCACCCTGAGGTTTCCTGCCACCAACTCCTGATAGATCCCGTTGTTAGGGTAGTAGTTCAACCTAGGCCTAAGAAGTATCTCGAGAAAACGGAGGCTGCTGAAAAAGCTGTAAAATACCTTCTAGAGGCAAATTTTATTTGAGGCTCGGTATCCAACCTGGATCTCAAATGTTGTACTTGTTAAGAAAAATAATGGAAAATGGTGTATGTGTGTTGAATATATTGATCTCAATTGGGCATGTCCCAAAGATGCATATCTTCTACCTAATATTAACATGCTGGTCGAAAACTCAGTTGACTATAAACTGTTATCATTTATGGATGAATATTCAGGTTATAATCAAATCCCCATGGTGATGAGCGACAAATAATGCACAACTTTCATGACTAGGTCGGGCAATTATTACTACAATGTAATGCCCTTCGCCTTGAAAAACACGGGCGTGACATACCAATGGATGATGAACAAAGTCTTCCACGGTGAGATTAGGGACATGCTCGTAGTATACATGGACGACATGATCATCAAATCTCGAGTAGAAACCGACCATGCGGCCCACCTAAAAAAATTCTTCGACCGAGCAAGACGATGCAAGATGAGATTCAACCCAGAGAAATGCACCTTCGGAGTTAAGGCGGGTAAGTTCCTCAGCTTCTACTTGACTAAACGAAGGATCTAATCCAATCTCGACAACTGCAGGGCCT